ATGAGGAAAAAACCAGCTAAATCAACATGTGGATGACAACACAATAACTTGAAAATCTCTCATAAATTCGTATGACAATGCAATATCTGTTGAGACCATGATAATTTGAACAACGGAGAAATTTCTTTATTATAATGTAAGCGGCGTTTCGGCGGTGTATCCCCAACAGGCAGCAGTGGGTTACCTGGGATAAGAGGACAAACATGAATTAGCGTGCAGGGCAGGTTGTTCTGTGTGTAATATGGTCCAGGGTATTTTGGCTGCCAATAAAATTGACGCTGTGACTTCATTCATTAATTTATTTCAATATACATATTATCATCAATCTCATCAACGGTATTATGAAATACAACCATTAGGCAATATTAGCACTACCATCATGATACAAACAAACATTATTACAAAATATCACATTATACACAATATCACAAGCATACATCATTATTCATAGTCCCACAAGGTGAGACACACCGTAAGCAAGTGGAGTCTCGACGCCATCTTGCATAGTCTATCCTCGCGGTCTAGCCGTTCTTCAAGCGGGCGATATTTGATCTTCTAAGGCCTCACACAACCGCCACCCTGCAACTGCTTAAATGTTATTTCTGTGTAGTTCTGTTGTGACCTTATCAGATTGATATGTCAACGAGATAAGTGATGGGTTCAGTTTAAACATAACATCAATCATTAATTTAATCACTCACTCGTAGTGGCAGAACCGGCAAAATAGTGCCAATCTTACTCTGCTCAATAAATCAGAATGGTCTCAGTGTTAGCATTGCCATATTGTGTGTACTTTGCATGTTTATTTATGTGGAATGACTTCATTTTTCTATTTAAATAGGGGTTTGGGGACGGGGGTGGGGGTGTACTCCCTAAAACCTCGGGCGAAGAAAAGCCGTGACGGACAGACGGGAATTACAAAAAAAAATCACAAAATATTAAAACGAAACGTGCGAACCTGGGTAGGTACACCTCGCAAGTGTGGGGTTGCCCACGATAGAATTTATTCAACAGTGAATACTATGACGACATACCGAGTGTCACGTAGAATAAAAACACAGTATTGATGCTTTTTTTTCCTTTGTGAGAAGGTTTGACAAGGCCCTTAGCTCCTGAGTGGTGACGTGTGACGTCCTGGACAGGAAGTGACAGTGTATTGATTTCTTTCCTTAATTACCCAGTTGGTACTCCCTAATTAACCTTTATTTGTTCTGAAGCAGCATAGGCTATTTATTTTATTTGGAAGTGGTTATTGTCGAATATCAATAGGATTGACAAGACATTTCAATACAGTCAAAGCTCTCACAATACTGTTTATGTTACAAGAATTACAAATGAAAAGTAATATTTCATATTCAACAATTTCTTAATTTTGACTGTTCCGACGTGTATCTTTTGATATTATCTGTGCGTACACGCATACCATTGACGAGCCACATTTCCAATTGCACTGGGGGCGGTGGGGTAGCCTAATGGTTAAAGCGTTGGCTCGTCACGCCGAAGACCCGGGTTCGAATCCCCACATGGGTACAGTGCATGAAGCCCATATCTGGTGTCCCCTGCCGTGATGTTGCTGGAATATTGCTAAAAGCGGCGTAAAACCAAACTCAGTCAGTCAGTCAGTTCAACTGCACTGAGTTATTTCGCATGTTGTACGTTAACAAATTAATAAATAAGCTACTGCACTGAGGCTCATGGTGATTTCTGTTCTGTTTCATGAATCAATTTATCATTTAAGCAGTATGTCAGATACAGTTTCCAACACAAGGTAGTACCTTTGTGTTGTTCTGTGAAGCCATATCACATAAAATGATAGAACTCTGGATCATTCGCAGATTGTTGCGAAACTGCATTTTTGACATTTTCAGTCATCACTCAATCCTGAACTGGGTCACCAGTGTTACTACCTTGGTGGTAAAAAAATGATGCTTTTTTCAGTGATTCTGTATTCTCAAATTATCTACTATACGATATCACGTCATACTGTAGTTAGATAAGTTGTTTCATGGCATTACTTCTAATGTTTTAAGTGCCTAGTGACTACATATGATGATGATTATGAGTTTAACGTCGGCTTCTGGCTGTAGCCAATGTCGCCGACGGGGTAGGTGGGAGCTAAAGTAATAATTAATATGTTTAGAATAATGGATAAACCACCATACCCAAAAGATGTAAATGATGGGGTGTTAACCTAAGTGAATTTTGAATGAAAACGGCTACAAACATGATAATAAATAAAAAGCCATGACTAAGAAGGGAAGAATTGTATAGCATAGGGGGAGCTTGTTTTGGAAACAGTTAAGCTGTTTATAATTAAATAATGGGTAAAGAAAGAAAAAGGGGTTAAACTGCGGTGGGGTGTGGGGGTGGTATGAGAACATTGAAGGCAGGCTGAGCGAGTGTAGTAATTGAGAGGCAGTAGTAAGCTTGGTTGAGTGGCCTTGACTGAGGGGCTATGGGCGGTCTTGACCTTGGAGTTTGTTATGGTTGATGCTTGAGAGGTGGCGGGGGTCGGTGGTGGCTGGAGGCACGCGGACCTCGGAGGAGACAGTAGTTGTTGGGAGGAAGAGTTGGCGTGAAATAATGAAGGACTAGAGAGGCGCGCGGACCTCTGAGAAGACAGGTGGTTGGCGAGAGTGAAGTTATAGATGGCTTGATAGTGAGCAGAAAGTGGATCGAGATTGCTAAGTTGAGAGGTGGGCGCGGACGTTGGAGAGGACAGTCACGCACATATGGTGAATTTGGAGTGACTACATACCTCTCCGTGAAACAATTAATGGTCACATGTACCAAAAAATCAAACATAATTAAAACACAATTATCACTTATTCATGACATATAATATACATTGCTGGTTATGAAAAAACATATAAACAAAATTATAAGCGTACAATCGCAAATCAAAAGTGCAATAATGTGTACTTTGGTTTACTTCCCAAGAAACGAAGCAGCCGGGATACCGAACCCAGTCAGAGCGGGTGGGTGTGCACTCAAGTGTAACGGCTGGTTCATTTGCAGATGCCCTCACGGGTCATTGTGTGTGTATATATAGGGATGTTGGGTTTTGTAAATACATGCTCATTTTTTGTGTATAACATTTTGCAATCAACAGACATCATAACATGTCATGTGTTCAAGTATCACACCTGCCTGTCTGTGTAATTACATAATGTGACAGAGACCGAACTCGGGCCATAAATCAATGCATTTTGTTTATGGTGTATAGCCTGATTGGTGTTAAGTTCAAATTGCATGTGGTCAGTGATAGCAGCTGTGTATTGAATATTGTCATTAGCAGACAGGCAGGCAGACACACAGGTGTCAATAAAACAAGACATTGAGTTTTGTCTGTGACAACGACATATCTATATATTGAAATTCTGTCAACGCTAAATAATGACATTGCTTTTGAGTATCGAACTGAGAAAGTGACTCGGTAAGAAGAACGTGTGGTGAAACAGACAAATGAAATTATATAAACAGTTAATTTACTGTCATAACATATAAAAAGCTCGCGCCTGTGAGATATCAACAAAACATTAGAAAAATAGCTCACACCAAAGCCTTCACCGACAACCCGCTTCCTAGCTGCGCGAACCTATATCACTGCGCACATGCTATGAGCGCAGCCCAGCTGTTGAAAAAGTCTGGGGAAAATTAGTGAAACGTTTGAACTCATTGCGTTCTTTTTCAACTTTATAAGTTGAATTTGCATTTTTGACGATTTGTTTCGGTATGTCCATACCGAAAGGTATCAGAATCTGCAAAGTTGTGTTTTACGTTGCATGTGACCTTTAAGTAATGAAACAATAGGCCAGGGCTTTCAATACAACTGATAGCTCGTGACAGGTAATTAATGTCAGATGGTCGGATTGGGGTGTGCTGATAGTTATAGCCCGGCAATGCGCTATTAGCTAATCCATGTTACCGTAAATAATGCAGATTTATCAAGCAAATTAGCCGAATTAAGTCAAAATGAGTTGAAATTTGTGTCATGATGCTTATAAACATACACTCACTTATTTACAACCTCCAAAACATGGAAAAACATGTATTTTGAGTAAAAGTCAATATTCTCGCCCATTGGCCAACATATTTTCCGCCCATGGGCGAGATTTTTTAATATCGCTCTAAATTAGCCGAATTAGGTCAAAATGAGTTGAATTTTGTTTCATGATACCCATAAGTATACACTCATTCATTTACAAACTCCAAAACATGGAAAAACATGTATTTTGATTAAAAGTATATATTCTCGCCCATGGGCCAACATATTTTTCGCCCATGGGCGAGATTTTTTAATATCGCTCTAAGTTAGTCGAATTAAGTCAAACTGAGTTGAAATTTGTGACATGATGCTTATAGACATACACTCATTCATTTACAACATCCAATACATGAATTTTGAGCGAAATTAAACATTCTCGCCCATGGGCCAACATATTTTTCGCCCATGGGCGAGATTTTTTAATATCGCCCTAAGTTAGTCGAATTAAGTCAAAATGAGTTGAATTTTGTGTCATGATGCTTATAAACATATACTCATTCATTTACAACCTCCAAAACATGAATTCTGAGCAAAATTAAACATTCACGCCCATGGGCCGGTCATGCCGAGTTTAAATTTAAAGTTTTCGATTTTTTTTCCCATTTTTTCATCCTTGGCATATATTCATAACAACTGCATGTTTAATTTGGTCAAATCCCTTGTCAGAAAGTGCCCACAGTGCGGAGAGTTTCTGGACTTTTGTGAGTCCAGAATTAAATTGTGATGTGTTATTTCATGTTTTACCGACAGCACGCACACACAGGGGTGTGAGGGTAGCTTGGTGGTTGAAGCGTTCGATTCCCCACATGGGTGCAATGTGTGAAGCCCATTTCTGGTGTCCCGCCATGACATTGCTGGAATATCGTATTGCAGAGTATAACTAAACTCACCCACTCACACAATGTTCATATTTCTACATGTCCTTAAACATCACATATTATAATTGTTACAGACAATACTTGGTCCTTGTCAGAACAAACAATGTGGAATCACGGAGAGATGCAGTGTGAAGAGAAATGGCAATGTGCAATGTGGTATGTACAATTCTTTACAATGGATCCATATTGTCTACAGCCATGATCTACTTCACTAAGGTCACTGAATAAAGTGTTGACAGAAATTGGCTTAGATGAACAAACACCTTTGATGAACCAACAGTTCGGTAAAACCGGAACTGTTGGTTGAAACACTAACTGTAATTCTTTGTAATACGTAAGAAATTCTTACGACCATGTCTCAATCTTAATTTAGACCAGTTGTGGTTTGGGTTATGTTGATGGAATACCTTTGACGCGTAAACACCTTCACTTTGTTTTGTGAAAGAGAAGAATATTGGTCTGATGGTCTATTTATGTACAACACAAAATGATCACAAAAGGTCATACATACGTGATGCATATCACATTGGGAAGAGAGTTTAGTGGTAGATACACTTGATAATTCCCAGATGACCAAGTCAGTTTCCTTGTCCTTACATTTAGTATATACACTGAGTGGTCAATCTATTAAAACATATGTTTTGACCATTTAGCTCATGAAGCGGGAAGCGGGCTATTACAATAGTACAGACACAAGTCTGAAATATCTGTATATATCTCGATTGTCTTGTGATATTACTTTTACAAAATTAAATTATCCTGGGAGTAGTTCACAAGAACGATTTTTGTTTTTGCACAGTCTTGGGTTCGTCTGTCTATTGGATAAAGTTATTACTTTCAATATATAGACAAACCTCAAGATGCAAAAGCGTATCACTGGAGAAAACCTCCCACCCTCCCCCAAACCATATGATATCGATTTAAAACAGTTGTATCTGCCAATATTTAGCTTCTTTGAGTGACAATTACAAGATGATGTGATGAATAACGGGAAAGGTTGTATGGCTGTAAAACCCACCTACTCTTAATTGGAATCACCAGACGTTTACATCGCAATTAAAATAAAAATGTACAATCGTTTGTGTAGTATTTCACTGTCCTTGTAATGGACACCCTGCCAATGTGTTTCTATCATCAAGGTTTTGTTTCTTCCAACAGAGGCATTTCTATCTAATATTGCAAAGGACAAACCAGCAAGTGCAAGTTCAATATGGCGAGGTGATGCGTTCCCGCCAGGTGTTGCTGTGGACGGAGATGTTAACCCTCTGTGGACATCAGGATCATGTTTTGCTACTGAGTTCAATGATCTGTCACCCTGGTGGCAGGTGGACCTCCAGGACACCTATGTCGTTGTGGAAGTTCGAGTCACCAACAGAGAAGATTTCCGACGTAAGTTAAACGTTTGCCTGCTGTTTTCGTGGTATTGAAGTAAAGCTATTTCAGTTGTCAGGTTATTTCAGACTGAAAATTCTAAACATGATCGTTGTCTTTCAGCTGACCGACTTCACGACTTTAGTATCGACATGTATCGAGGCGATCCTGCTGGGAACCCCCCATGTCAGCTCACAACAGTGTTACATGTACAATGGAGCCGTGACAGAGCCGGGCAGGACAGTTGCCCTGCAGTGTACGTCACGCGTCACTGGCCGCTTCATGAGACTTAGTGGAAAGAAAAGCATTGACGGAACTGATCTCCTCCAGTTTTGTGAAGCCCAAGTCTTTGGCTTTAAGCCTTTACAATGGTGTGGATAAGTAATAACATGATGTTGTTAATGATGTTTTTAAAACATGTTCTCACCTCCGGGTGTTATACTTTCATAAAATCTACTACCATATCATAACTTATGGCTAGGGGGATGTGTGTGTGTGTGTGTGTGTGCGTGCGTGCATGTGTGCGCGTGAGATATGATGATTTTTAAGGGGGTCACCATTTTGTTCTGGAAAGGTGGTGTGTGCGTGTGTGTGTGTGTGTGTGTGGGGGGGTTGTCAGCAATTTTGTACACATGTACGAGGGTGGTGGAGTCAGCAACATGCTAACACCGTCGGTTCCAAATGAATTCCCGTACTTCAAATACTCAATAACACCCGGAAATTGGCCAACACATGATGTTTACCTCCTAATTTTAAACCAAAAGTCACCGTGTACTTCAATCTGATTGGTTGCAAAACATGATCGAATGGTAATCGATTACCGGAAATTGCACGACTATTCACTGCGTATTGATACGACAAATATCGCACACAATTGTATTGTTGCGTCCGTCAGCAGTGGTGACGTCATTCAAATCATATTGAATTCCCGTGGTTAAAATACTCAATAACACCCCGAAATTGGTCAACACATGATGTTTATCTCCTAATTACAGAGGAGGTCCTTATGAAGTACATAAGTGAATATATGTATTTTTACTTTCAGAACACACCACTGTCGGTTGCTTGATGAGAATAGTTCAGTTTTGTCACAAGGGATTGTCACCATGGATACGAATAAGATGGAAAACTATGTTGTATCAACTGTGCTCCAGTGATTACAACGGGGTCTGAACTATGGAATCCTAGAAGGGACATTGTCACGTTGGGGCGCTTTGACTAAGATTGTTTTACTCATCCAAAGCGCGACAATGCGACACATGTAGCGACAATGCGACACATGTAGCGACAATGCGACAAATGGCTAAAATGTCGCACTGTCGCTCTTTGGTTAATTCTAACACTTCTTGCTTGTTTTTGTGAAGGCGACAACGCGACAATGTCCCTTCTAGGATTCCATTCTGAACACTCTCGGACTGCTTGTTCAAACTGTCCTGTTCACTCGAGTGCATGTGAATGTGCAGATAATTTTGCATAAACTATATAGGACATGTTGCTAAAACACCTCATGTATTATCGGTGATATAGAACGAAAATCAAGATTTTGTTGAAACCCATGTGCAACAACATTGAAAACAGTCGATTGAGGTAGGTAGTGGTATACCTATTGAAGGCACACAGCACAAGGGAATGTCGCAGGTTGTAACTTCAACATTTCGACATTGACTGAATTGTCAACGTTGGACGAGGAACGTGAAGAGCAAGCAACGTCATTGTGTACGATGTCTTAGGTGGCTTGGTAACTTGTACTCATATTGCGTAGCTTGTTAGTCATAGGCATAGTCAAAACACCTTTGAACATGTTTAAGTTGATTTGGGACAATACTCCCTGTTCTTTTGATCGTCAGTTTAGCTTTGAAGTATATGATTTATTATGGAAAAAGAGATTAGTTCTTGTTTTTGTATCTTATCAGACATGCTCAAAGTCTGTTGTTAGCAACTGTCTATCAGCAAATTACGGTTGAAAGAAATCAATAATACCAATTGCTTTTACCTACTTTCATTTTCGAATGCACTACAAAGTCTAGACGTGTTGCATTATACTGTATATATCAGTACAAACACACACACACACACACACACATATATATATATATATATATATATATATATATATATGTGTGTGTGTTTGTACAGAAAGAAAGAGTTAGTTATAATAATTGGTGATATAGACTTCTTTCAACTATGTGTGTGTGTGTGTGTGTGTGTGTGGGGGAATTGGATCCCACTGTATGTTGATTTCACAGACAAATTTAATTGTTTAATTTTGACTGACCACGCTGATACGCAAATAGTTTAACCAGTCCCTCACCTACAAATTGACTGTATCGGAAGATTCATACCATAGTTCTCACGGACACTGTGCACGGTGTTGCAGTTTTTGTAATCATCAGTATTTATTGGAGTTGCACCTGTCTCCTATCTGCACAGATTATCCATATCACTTTCAAAGTTTGATTGTATAGGCACGTTTGTACTTTGTATTACTTACACAAGTCACTGCCGCAGTAAAACAATGGTACATAATTCTCCACACACATATACATTTAACATCGCTGCATCACTTACCAGCCCCTAGCACATCTCTCAACGGCCTGGGTTGTTGTTTGATTTGTTGCTTAACGCATCACTCAGAATATTCCAGCTATATGGCGGCGATCTGTAAATAATCGAGTCTGGACCAGACAATCCAGTGATCAACAGCGTGAGCTTCGATTTACGCAATTGGGATTCGATGACATGTGTCAACCAAGACAGTGAGTCCACCCGATCCCGTTAGTCGCCTCTTTACTTTAACTTGAGTTTGTTACATGAATTGGACTGTATTTACTCTCCCCCCAAACAAGAATCGTTGAGGTAATATTGATACATCAAATTTCAAATATTTTTCAAAATTAGTGTTTGATTGTTACATAAACCGTTATAATGCTGGTTTGTGTACATGGAACGAAGGCACAGCGCAAAAACGCTTCTTCAGAAATGTTGATGCACGTTTACGTTTGAAAGTGTCAACTTGCATGAAAATGTCATGGAGAAAAAGTAGCTTGCAATATGCATGTGCAGTTCTGAGGAATCGTGAGCGAGGGCATTGTCTATATAAGGCCGTTTTGCTTTAACAGGTTCATTGGCATTTTTTAGCTAAATGAAAGAATATCGTTGTGCCGCGACTCACTTCTGTAAATGTGAATATTGTCATTGGACGTCTTGAGACTGGGGAGTCTCAATCTGCCGTTGCACGTCACCTCCATGTTCACCAGAGTACCATCAATCGTTTATGGAACCAATATCAACAAACCAGTTCTACGCAACATCGGCCTAGGATTACCACTGCAACGTAGTATAGGTAGATCCGGGTATTTCAATAGCGGAATCAAACTGTCACAACAACTGCAAGTGCAAGTGCAGTGCCTGGTTTAAGGAGAGTGTCGGCGACACCAATCGTAATCGTTTACGAGAAGCTGGACTTCGAGCCAGAAAGACATCGACGTCGACGGGTCCAGTGGTGCAATAACGTTCGATTCTGGAATCTACAAAACCTATCGTTCACTGACGAATCACAATTTCTGTTCGATGTCGAAATGAAAGTTTTGTCCAGAATTGTGCCGCCCAGGTTGACCGATATGATGGTGGGAGTGTCATGATGTGGGGAGCCATTATCCTGCACGCAGAAATCGAACTTTGCGCGCCTTCGGGGCCTTTTAATTGCTGTTCGGTAAAGAGACGAAATCTTAAGGATTCAGATGGAGTTGTTCCAGGGAGTTGTTCCAGCACGATATAACCAGGCCTCACACATCACATGCCACTATTCAGTATCTTCAGAATGAGAACATTACAGTGCTTTCTTGGCTTTCGAATGGCCCAAGCTCTACCCCATCGAGCATTTGTGGGATTAGCTTGGCCGACGTGGTACGAGAACGTCAACCGGCACCCCTGGCGTTAGATTAACTGTCGCAGGTATTACAAGAGGAACGGGTCAGAATTCCACTAGGTCGAATTCAAAGGCTTACTCAGTCCATGCTGAGACGGTTCAGAGCGGTTTTAATAAGCTCATGATGGCCCAACAGATTTAAAGACAACGCTCAACTTTGATCTTCATATTGTCTGATATGAGGCTTAATTACATATGTTATCTCACTTTAAAGTCAGCAAATTAAATTCATGAATATACGGTATGCCTTTTCTTTTTTAGGAGAGTATATATTTGACCCCACTTGTATCTGGATGTATGTCAGGGCCACAGAACATTGTCATTCAATGCCATGTAAGAACATAATAATGATTTATGGTTTTCTAATGGCATTGGAAATCTCAATTTCTTTTTAATGAAACGTGATAACTGGTTTGTGATATAGATTTGCGGCAGAAATTCTTTGGTATTCTTCTAAATTAAAACAACAAAACGGTATAATGCTTTTGTTGTAAATTCACAAACGATATTGCGAAAATGTGCAGCGTAAATTGAAATCTCTAAAGCATGTTTTTAATGGGTTTGAACAATGTCCATCATTCATATGTATATGTTCTGTTAAAATGTAGAGGATTATTCAATAAAATTGTGCTACAACTATTGATATTTAATATTATCTTTAATGAGAAAAATAACATACAAATGTAAGAGTAACATCTGAGATTTGCATTAGTTGTTGAACGTCAGATGACCATAGATGTTGCCAGATTGGTGGCCAAAGCACCCATCACGTCATTAACCATAAATAGTCAAACACATTATCGTGTGGATTCGCCTCATATTCTCAAGACAGTCCCGGACACGAGGTACAGGGCATATAGAACATGGGTCAGAATTGGAGCGAATCTTAAAGTTGTACCAATAGTAAGCGGATCCTGCAAGTTCCTTCTTTGAATGGCATATTTAGAAGTTGGTGAATCAGATAAGGACAAACTTAATGGACAAACAACTTCTTCATTCGGGTGATGCGACGTTTCGATACAGATTCTTGTATCGTTGTCAAGTGTTTCGATACAGATTCTTGTATCGTTGTCAAGCGTGTCTATACAGATTCTTGTATCATTGTCAAGCGTGTCGATACTGATTCTTGTATCGTTGTCAAGCGTGTCGATACAGATTCTTGTATCATTGTCAAGCGTTTCGATACAGATTCTTGTATCGTTGTCAAGCGTTTCGATACTGATTCTTGTATCATTGTCAAGCGTTTCGATACGGCTTGACTACGATGCAAGAATCTGCATCGAAACGTCCTATCACCCGAATAAAGAAGTTGTTCATCCATAACGTTTGTTCTTATCTGATCCTGCAAGTGACAATAAGATCTAAGCTTCACATGCACTGGTGGCAACATATGCTCATTTGAAGTTGAGTCTGCCTTTTGAAACCCTAAGATCAGTAGCGACTATAATTTATTCGATTGGCATGTTAAAAGGTTTATATATTTCATGAAGTTGTTTAGAAGGTTGTTCAGAAGCTGACGTACCGCGTTGTATGCTTATCATTTTCCCGTGTATTCCTTCAGCCACATTTAAGGAGTCAAGCAGCTCATCATCTTTGCTACTGAAATCATGGTCTCCATGTTTCGCTTTTGTCTTGGATGTATCGAAATCATGTACATTTGTTGCCTAATACTTGGGAGTTTGGTACAGTTCACTAACACATGTATGCCGGATCTACAATATGGAAAACATCTAGTTGCATCAACGTTTAAGATGATCGAAAAGTCATCTCTGTTCGCCTGTGCTGCTGAATGTGCCTCTTATGGGATATGCAAATCCTTCCAATTTGAATCAGGCCCAAGAAAGTGTCATCTAAATGTTCTCCAGTATATGGAAGGAGGTGGGGAAGACACTGGCTTCATCCACAGTAGAATTATGAACTGGAACAAGGTAAGACTGGAACTGCATGAATGTTAATAAATGTGTATAGACATGGGTCGAGCTCTATTGCCTGCAAAATCAAGGAAATCACAATGTTTAGCTCGATATTAGGGTAAAATATTTTCAGGTTTAAAACTCTTATGTTGCTGCAAAACGTTTATTGCTTCGCTAGCTCATGATGATAAAGTCATCCTGTTTTCCTTACACAAATCATAAGAAACCATGAAGATCCGAGTTAGAATTGATCTTCAATACCCCATGCTTGTCGTAAGAGGCGACTAACGCGATCGGGTGGTCAGGCTCGCTGACACATGTCTTCGTATCCCTATTGCGTAGATCGATGCTCATGCTGTTGATCACTGGATTTTCTGGTAAAGACTCGATCCCTCAAAATCAATGACGACACCGGGTGATCGGGAAAAGAGTAAGCACGTCATGTCCTACCGAGAGCACGCCCACAAAGGGGCGTCGGGGTAGCTTGGTGATTAAAACGTTCGCTTGTCACGCCGAAGACCCGGGTTCTATTCCCCACATGGGTGCAATGTGTGAAGCCCATTTCTGGTGTCCCCGCCATGACATTGCTGGAATATGATTTGGCAACGTAAAGCTAAACTCACCCACTCACACAATGTTCATATTTCTACATGTCCTTAAACATCACATATTATAATTGTTACAGACAATACTTGGTCCTTGTCAGAACAAACAATGTGGAATCACGGAGAGATGCAGTGTGAAGAGAAATGGCAATGTGCAATGTGGTATGTACAATGCTTTACGATGGATCCATATTGTCTACAGCCATGATCTACTTCACTAAGGTCACTGAAATAGTATTGACAGAAATTGGCTTTGATGAACAAACAGTTGGGTAAAACTCCGAAAGCCGGAAATGGTGTGTGAAACACTGACTCTTAGGAGTGAATATTGAGGGGGAAAAAACTACTTCGATAGTGATAGTCTATTGCAACCAACTATTGCAATGCTATTGCAGTAATTTTTCTCTCCTTGAATTGTGTCATTTAAAGTCATTTTCAAAGTGAATGCATAGTTTATATGAATAGTTCTTTTAATAACTGATAAGAAAGTTGAAACGCAGATCAAGTAAACAGTTAAAACATTCTCAATGAACCTGCAAGTCTGTACTCTAAATCAAAGTGAACGAATCTGGTACTTCCAGTATTTTGCACTGCGCATTTATCAACGGAAGTCAATTACTAAACTATCGATAGTCACACATACTATCGATGTATCGATAGTTTTTCGTGTCTACCATCGATTAATTGCTATCGGAGACTCATCAGTTGCAATCCATCGATAGTTCGATGCATCGTTACAGCCCTACTAACTGTACATCCTTTGTAATACCTACGAAGTTCGTACGACCATATCTTAATCTTAATTTAGAACAGTTGTGGTTTGGGTTATTTAGGTTTGACCTTTGACGCGTATACACCATCACTTTGTTTGGCTCACAAACAACCACAACCATATGAAAATCAAACGACCACAATCTTGATATCGTTTCAAAACTGTATCTATCTGCCACTATTTAACTTCTTTAAGTGGACCCTCAAAGGGGGTTGAAGTATAGTAAAATTATTGTCCTCCTGAGAGGGTACGCAAGTCCCAAAACTTTCAAAGTCAATTTAAACTTACCAGGCTTTTTAAACGTAGTATTCTTGTTATTTAATGTTGGCTAACATTTCTTAAAATCGCCAACAGCTGAAGGGATGGTGTAAATCCAACTAGACTCCATGCAGGTAGCAAAGGTACTGTAAGTCCCATGGTCCCTGTTATGGTGATCTACCTTCAGTTGTTGGCGATCTATAGCCTGTTTTTATATTGTATTCTCCAAATAGTACTATTAGTTTTAACTTTCCACGCCAGTTTTAATTCTAATTGTGATATTCTAGTTGTTGTATTGTCCTTTGACGACAGGTTTGTATAATATCCATATGTTCCATTTCAATGTCAAATATGTTCTCGTCACGATATGGCTGAAATATTGCCGATGTGACGTTAAATATTAACTCACTTACTTTCAGTGGAATTTAGAAGTTGATGTGATAATACAACAGGAAAAGCTCTATGGTTATAGAACTTCTTCATTAGTAAGTTATCTTTGTTCATGCTTAATTTGGTTTTGGTCGTATTGGCAAAGTGATGTAAAACTCACCTATTCTTATTTTATATCGTAATTAAGAGAAAAAATGGACAGTAGTTTGTGTAGTATTTCACTGTCCTTGTAATGGACACCCTGCCAATGTGTTTCTATCATCAAGGATTTGTTTCTTCCAACAGAGGCATTTCTATCTAATATTGCAAAGGACAAACCAGCAAGTGCAAGTTCAATATGGCGAGGTGATGCGTTCCCGCCAGGTGTTGCTGTGGACGGTGATGTCAACCCTCTGTGGACATCAGGATCCTGTTTTGCTGTTGATATTGGTGATTTCTCACCGTGGTGGCAGGTGGACCTCCAGGACACCTATGTCGTTGTGGAAGTTCGAGTCACCAACAGAAATAAAGGCCGTAAGATAAACGTTTGCCTGCTGTCTTCATGATATTGAAATAATAACGCTATAATAAGGCTATAAAAGAATACCAGTTAACTTTCTTAAATTTTAAATATAATATCCATAGCAATAAAACGTTCGTTTAATAATCTCATAAATATCTATAAATAAATATACTCTCCCAAAAAAGAAACGCATCATGAAAATAGCAATGTCATATAGCAATGATTTAAAACGTGATTCATTTTACAAAAGGTTTTGCTCTGTTGATGAGTCCTATGGTGTTTATGTTTTGAAACATCACAACAAAACGCACCATCCGTAAAATACCCGTATTTAACAGCATGATTTTCAATTTCGGCGTGTAGTGTCACAGAATACACAATTCACATGCAAGGCACGTGAAAGTTGGGGATCAGATAGTGTCAATGATGGGTATAAAAGGTTGATCGCTGTCTGTCGATTATTCACTGTATTTGGAATATTGTTGACGAACGCAAAGTGCCACGTCTAAGTGAAGCCAACCGTCATATCGCCATTGGTTTGCTTGAAGCTGGCCAGTCTCAACGTGCAGTTGCCCGACGCATGAATGTTCACCAAAGCACCATTTCACGGCTCTGGGAGAGATGTCGCCGGCAGAATTCGGTAGCAGATGCCCCTCGTATTGGGCGACCTCGAGCGACCACTGCGACGCAGGATCGCTACATCCGGGTACATCACCTGCGTCATCGAACAGCTACGGTACCAGTACCGCTCGACAAATACCCGGATTGAGGAGGCTTTCTGCACAGACCATCAGGAACAGGTTGAGAGAGGCTGGTTTACGTGCCAGAAGACCTTATTTTGGCCCTGTGCTTCGAAAACAACATCGTCGACATCGAGTTCAATGGTGCACCAACGTTCAGGCCTGGAACCTACCGAATTGGCGTAGAATCTGGTTAAGTGATGAATCACGATTTCTATTGGAACGACGCGATGGAAGAATGTGGGTGTACAGACGTCGACGTGAACGTTTCACCGACTCTTGCGTTCCCCAGGTGGACAGATTCGGCCGGGGCAGTGTTATGATGTGGGGTGGAATCAAAGTGCCAAAGACGGATAAGTCTGCATTCCCAGTGTGCAATTTCGCTATATTTCATTGACCCATAAAGCCTACAAGATGTTTCAAAATAAACATAAGTTGAAATTCCTATATGCGTTTCTTTATTGGGAGAGTATATTATAAATATTGTAATAATACATGCTTCAGGTATCGTACTTTATCAAGGGATTGTCTGGTCCAGACTCGATTAATTACAGACCGACGCCATCGAGCTGGAATATTGTTGAGTGCGACGTTAAACAGAAAACAAACAAACCTATGAAATTAAAAAAGTTTTGTTTCAGCTGAACGACTTCACGACTTTAGTATCGACGTGTATCGAGGCGACCCTGCTGGGAACCCCCATGTCAGCCCACAACAGTGTTACATGTACAATGGAGCCGTGACAGAGCCGGGCAGGACAGTTGCCCTGCAGTGTACGTCACGCGTCACTGGCCGCTTCATGAGACTTAGTGGAACGAATACCCTTAATAGGAAAGATCTCCTCCAGTTTTGTGAAGTCCAGGTCTTTGGCTTTAAGCCTTTACAGTAGTGTGGATAAATGATAACATGATGTTATTAGTGGTGTTTTTTAAACATGCTCCCCTCTCCGGGTGTTATCTTTTCTTGAATTCTACTACATGAGATAGTAAAATACAGGAGTTTATGCCTAGGGGGAAAGGTGATGATGATGATGATGATGATGATGATGATGATGATGATGATTTTAAGAGGGGGTCTCCCATTTTGCTCTGGAGAAAGGTAGGGGGGCAGGGTCTCATTAATTTTGTACAAATGTACTGGGGTGGGAAGAGGTCAGCAATTTTGTACAGAAAAATACAAAACAACTTATGTTGTCGCACTTTGAATAATGTTGTTTTATTCATCGAAAACGCGACAATGCGACACATGTAGCGACAATGCGACAAATGGCTAAAATGTCGCGTTATCGCATTGTCGCGCTTTGGTTAATTTTGACACTTTTTGTTTGTTTTTGTGAAGGCGAAAACGCGACAATACGACAACGCAGTACTGCCCCTTATAAGAATCCATACTGAACACTCTCGGACTGCTTGTTTAAACTGTTCTGTTCGATCGAGTGCATGTGAAACTGCAGATATTTTTGCATAAACATTATGGTACATGTTGCCAAAACACCTCGGATATTATCGGTGGAATACCACGAAAACCAAGATTTTGTTGAAACATATATGCATGATATGTCCACATTAAAAACAGTCGATTGAGATAGGTAATGATATACACGACACAAGGGAATGTCCCAAATGGTAACTTCAACATTTCGACATTGACTCAATTGTCTGCGTTGGACAAGGAACGTGAGGAGCAAGCAACGTCGCAATTGTATCGAATCCTAGAAGGGATATTGTCGCTATGTCGCATTGTCGCGTTGTCAAAAACAAGTAAAGTGAGGCAAAATAAACCAAAACGCGACACGCGACAATGCGACATATAATATGTGGCATTGTCGCGTGTCGCGCTTTAGTCATATGTTATAATACATACTATACTCAATATTTTAACAGGGGGGCGGTGGGGTAGCCTAGTGGTTAAGGCGTTCGCTCGTCACGCCGAAGACCCGGGTTCGATTCCCCACATGGGTACAATGTGTTAAGCCCATTTCTGGTGTCCCCCCGCCGTGATATTGCTGGAATATTGCTAAAAGCGGCGTAAAACCAAACTCACTCACTCACTCACTCAATATTTTAACAAAGCGCGACACGCGACAATGCGACAACGCGACATTTCATCAAAATGTCGCATTGTCGCGTGTCGCGTTTTAGTTAATTTTAGGCTGTTTTACACATCTTACATTGGGCGACGCGCGACAACGCGACATATTTTGACCTTGAAAATTGTCGCTATGTCGCGTGTCGCCCTTGGAGGAATGAAAAATATATTATTCCAAACGCGACACGCGACATCGCGACAATGCGACAAATGGGCGAAATGTCGCGTTGTCGCGATGTCGCGTGTCGCGTTTTGTTTAATTTTGCTTGTACTTGAGAGGGCGACAACGCGACAATGCGACAACGCGACAATGTCCCTTCCAGGATTCCATACAATTGTGTTCGATGTCTGTGGTGGCTTGACAACATGTACTCAAAGTCACAGTCAGAACACCTTTGAACATATTTAAGTTGATTTGGGACCATGCTCCCACTGTCTTTTGATCGTCAGTTCAGCTTTGAAATATATGATATAGCATGGAAAAAGAGATTAGTTCTTGTTTTTTGTATCTTATTAGACATGCACAAAGTCTGTTGTTAGCAACTGTCTATCAGCAAGTTACAGCTACAAGAAATCAATAATACCAATTAACCAACTCTTTCTTTTCGAATGCACTGTACAAAATCTAGACGACTTGTATGTGAAACGTTCACAGGTACAAGCACACGCACGCGTACACGCACACGCACACACACATATACATAGTCTGTTGATATTATTGTCTTCTACCTGTATCCATATTTCTTTCAAAGTTTGATTGTAGATTCACGTGTTTTATTGCTTACAAATCTACACGACGGCAGTAAAACAATAGTACATAATTCTCATGCAATTCTCGTTTTATATCTAATGACCCATCTTGTTCCTCTGGTGCATTTTGTGAAGATAATTTACACTATTTCTTTCTGTGTCCAAATTATGATAATTTAAGAAAATGATATGCATTTTATAGAAATGGATAAAATCTCAAATCGGTCCTTTATGGAAATATTCAAGCATCAGAAATTGAAAATTTGCAAATTGTTAAATCTGTTCATTGTTTTATCGAAAAATCTTGTCGATTTAAGTTTTAAGAATTAATGTACTGAAATATAATGTAATACATAACTGTAAACCTACTGTGAATGAATTTATTTCATTCATCAAATTCAAGGTCATTTAATTATTTACCGTTGAAATGTCATACATATGTACATAAACAAGGCTGTTGTACTGGAGTGGCATTAAGATAAGCTTTTGGCTTGTTTGCCAATCCTTTTCATTACTCATAATGAATAAAATTTGCTTAAATCATGCAATTCTCACAAGGTTCCTTATATTTCGGATTAGGCATGTGCATTACATTCCCAGCCACGCGTACCATCACAACATCACTTCCCAGTCCCCAGCACATCTGGCAACGGCCTGGGATGGGAACAATGTGCACCTCGACGTTTGATGTATTGTATGACTATTAGACAATATCTAGTATAAATCCAGTCGGGCCAGTAAATCTCCACAGTCACTGGCCCGACTGGCTAGCTAGTGAATTTTCACGGGGTCATGTTGTAAATATATCACTGTCTCCGACTTGGTAAGTTGTAATACACTTTTAAATCATGCAAGATTATGGCCTGATAAAATGTTGATCATATTAGCAGCTTCATGATGAAACCCGTGTCATGCCGATAGTGTCTTAGTCTCATCTATTTTGTAATATTTTGCTTAGTTTCTACATTCAAATTTCGGGCTAGTGAATTATTTTGTGGGCTAGTAACTTTCAGGCGTAGCAAAATGTGTAAACTATTTCACACACTGATTACCATGTTAAATAAAGGTTTGCCTTACAACTCTTAGTACTTAGTATGCCTTCATTTATACTTTTAGTATAAAACTAAACCAAAGAAAGTGTTTTTTTGCATTAACAGTTAACATTGCTCATCGTAATACATGACATAAGGCAGTAAAACAAGTTGTGCTTTGGATTAAATATATTGTCTTCACAACAATAGTTTATATATTCACAAAAAAACGTATATGAAATTTCAGATATTTTTTAATTTTATAATTTCGCCATTATAATACTGGCTTGTGTACATGGAGTGAGTGAGTGAGTGAGTTTGATTTTACGCCGCTTTTAGCAATATTCCAGCAATATCACGGCGGGGGGACACCAGAAATGGGCTTCACACGTTGTACCCATGTGGGGATTCGAACCCGGGTCTTCGGCTTGTGTACATGGAACGAATACACGGCGCAAAGACGGATCTTCGGAAACTGTAATGCACGTTCAACGTTTACGTTCGAAAGTGTCAACTCGCATAAGAATGTCATGGAGAAAAAGTGGTGCACACGCACGTGCAGTTGAGGACTCGTGAGCAGGGCGTTGCCAAAATAAGGCCGCTTTGCTTTTAGACAGTTATTATCATTTATCAGCTTCATGAATATCTCGACTTATTGTTGTAAATAGAAACATTGCCTTTGGACGTCTGGAGGCTAGGGAGCCTCAATCCGGTGCACGTCACCACAATGTTCACCAGAGTACCATCGGGTACATCCGGGTACACACGGAAATGTGAGCTTTTACCTGACCAGACTAAGACTAAATCGTGTCGCATATCCTCTACTAGTAACAAAATGCCTCTGATGGAACAACGACGTTTGAGCTCTAAATTATCAAGAATATTTGCCCTCAGAAACAACTATTTAAATCATGATGGATATGGGAATGTGCCAAATAATTAATCGAGTTTATTAGAGGATTGTGGCATATTCCTCAACTATGTGTGTTTGTAAGTATAAGTGAGTGAGTTTAGTTTTACGCCGCTTTAAGCAATATTCCAGCAATATCACGGCGGGGGACACCAGAAATGGGCTTCACCCATTGTACCCATGCGGGTCTTCGGCGTGACGAGCTAACGAACACTTTAACCACTAGGACGACGAGTTTGATGATTTTACGTCGGCTTCTGGCGGGTGCCAATTTCGCCGACGGGGCAGGTGGGTTTTAACAATAAATATGAATAGTTGGTGATAAGGAATAATATACCATGCCCCCAAAAATGTAAATGTAGGGACGTTAACCTAAATGAATTTTTTAATAAAAACGTTAAAACATAAGATAAAAATAACAAAAAGCCGAATTTATAAAGGGAAAGGAAGCGAAAACAAGAGGTGGTTTGTGGTTTACTAAGAGAGAGAGTGGTAAGTATTTGATAGGTTATGAGAAAACGGGGGCCTAGGGTGAGGGTGGGGTGGATGGGGGTGGGGAATGAGAGATAGGTATAGCATAGGTGGACTTTATATAGATAATACAGTTAAGCTGCATTGTGGTATACATAAGGGCGCCTATAAAATAAACAAATAGGGTTTAAAGAAGGTGAGGGGTGGGGGTGGGGGGAGGGAGCAAAGAAGGCGAGTTTGGTTGGTATATAGAAGAATGGGTGGGTGGCCGTGCCTGAGGGGAGAGGTGGGATATTGTTGGTGAGGGTGATTGATGAGACGGGATTGAAATGGAGTGATTGCTAGGGGCGCGGACGTCGGAGAAGACAATGTATGCTGTAGGGCTGGAGCTGGTGTTATTGTAAGGGTAAGCCGTAGCTGGGAGAGGTGGGCTACCCCGCCGCCCCTTACAGGTATGGACCGCCTCCGTGGTGTAGGGGTTAGAGCGTCCGCCCGACCGCGTCATACCAAAAGACGATAAAATATGGTACTTGTTGGTCCCTGCCTCTCGCTCGGCATTAATTGGTGCAACAAGGACTGGTCGGCTCGGAGTCAGTATAATGTGTCTGAGTGGGGTATTCATGCTTCACTGCGGCATGGTATCTCAGTGGGCTAGCACTATAACACCAGCTTAAGTCTAGGCTAGTACAAGCAGCCGCACATACATATACACACGCATGCACGTCGTCATATGAGCGAAATATTCTCAAGCACGACGTTAAACCCAATTTCACCTCACCTCACCTCACCTTACAAGTATGAAATTCGTAAATGCATATTATTAACTTATGTTTGAAAATGTTGAGCTAATGTACATGTACAATTCAATTTAACCAGTGAAAATTCGACCTAGAATTGGTCATGCTGGTTGACGTATGTCATTTTATACAGTTATATATTTAATGAGGCTGAGAACATCAATAATCCATATCGAATTACTGTTTGTAGCACCCTAATAGTAAAACACCATTACCAACATATTGATTTTTCGTCAAGATAATATTTCCGGGTCAGTGTTTACCGTTAGGAAGCAAACAATGGCATTAGTGTCGATTAACAATGTATTTTATCTGTCAGTAAATAAATTATATCTTGGCGTCGCGCTCTTAGTCGCATGTGTCATAACATCGTCTACTGTTTTGGTAGTGTTTTCAAAAACATCACAGCAAAGTATACTTGGAGCAGGATATTTCTCCTTGATGTCCTTGAGTGAAACATATACGGAAGCCCATATTGCCATAATCTTGCCAATAGGGAATTGGACCCTTGGCGTTTTACTGCGCAAAAAGTTGCAGTCATAAGTGACAATCATATATCTTCTGCATAAATACTAAATGAATCTAAAGTATAGTCCCTTGTTTTAAGTAGTCAATGGATATTCGATCTTGATATATTTGATACCGTTGTTGACTTAAGGATCTCCTTTTCAACTTTGTAACGTTTTCATTATATTTGTACTGTTTTGCTCAAATTCAGGTATCAAGTGTGTACTTTCGTTTGTCCGGTAGTGTAATGTAACAAAACATGACGTAATCATAAGGACGAACATCTATGCCATAACACATCTTCATTAGTTTGACAATCTCTGAGAATAAGTTTGCAGAGCAACGTTTGCAGTTCTAGAGAATTTAACTCTCCATTCCTTAAAAATATTTTAAAACCGACTAGAATATCACAGAAACAAGAATTTAAAACTAGCATCTATCTCTAAAAGTGATATTGATATTAATCAGGACAATACACTATAAAAAAAACCAGGCCATAGATCACCAGCAACTGAAGGTAGATCACCATACTTGGGACTGCCTACGCAGTGTGTGTGGTGTGTGGTTTTTGGTGTGTGGTGTGTGAAGTGTGGTGTATGGTGTGTGACGTGTGACGTGTGACGTGTGGTGTGTTACGTGTGCTGGTGGTGTGTGAAACCGGGTTAAAACTAAGCGTGTTGTAATAACAACGTTTGGTATGAATTTACAACTTCTTTAATGTTTACAACGCGACGTATCAGGGCTACTTCTTGCCCCTTCAATTCGTAACTCTATAGTTGGAGTATCGGGGATCTCCTCTCAAATATATCTTGATTATTATTGTGTGGCAACAGATTCCCCTGATGGATGTCAATGTAAAACTGAGATTACAATTGAAGGGTTAATATTACTTGTGTCGTATCTGTGTTTGCACGACTCAAAAGGACTCTAGAATAGCGTGGCTCTCCTCTCAAGTGTACCTTAATTGCTATTGTGGTGTAGCGTAAGCCCGTTTCGCCCCAACTGCGTTTGGCGTGGATGCGACTTCAGAGTCGCAGGCGCTTCCCAGGTGAGGAGTGAGGAATAATGAGAAATCCAGGTGCAACCAGGTGCTGAACAGTGTGAGGAATCCCAGGTGCTAGTGAAGAATGAGGAATAATGAGGAATCCCAGGTGCTAGTGAAGAATGAGGAACAGTGTGAGGAATCCCAGGTGCTAGTGAAGAATGAGGAATAATGAGGAATCCCAGGTGCTAGCGAGGAATGAGGAATCCCAGGTGCTAGTGAAGAATGAGGAATCCCCGGTGCTAGTGAAGAATGAGGAATAATGAGGAATCCCAGGTGCTAGTGAAGAATGAGGAATCCCAGGTGCTAGTGAAGAATGAGGAATAATGAGGAATCAAAGGTGCTAGTGAAGAATGAGGAACAGTGTGAGGAATCCCAGGTGCTAGTGAAGAATGGGGAATAATGAGGAATCCCAGGTGCTAGTGAAGAATGAGGAACAGTGTGAGAAATCCCAGGTGCTAGTGAAGAATGAGGAATAATGAGGAATCCCAGGTGCTAGTGAGGAATGAGGAATCCCAGGTGCTAGTGAAGAATGAGGAATTCCAGGTGCTAGTGAAGAATGAGGAACAGTGTGAAGAATCCCAGTGCTAGTGAAGAATGAGGAACAGTGTGAGGAATCCCAGGTGCTAGTGAAGAATGAGGAATAATGAGGAATCCCAGGTGCTAGTGAAGAATGAGGAACAGTGTGAGAAATCCCAGGTGCTAGTGAAGAATGAGGAATAATGAGGAATCCCAGGTGCTAGTGAGGAATGAGGAATCCCAGGTGCTAGTGAAGAATGAGGAATAATGAGGAATCCCAGGTGCTAGTGAGGAATGAGGAATCCCAGTTGCTAGTGAAGAATGAGGAATAATGAGGAATCAAAGGTGCTAGTGAAGAATGAGGAACAGTGTGAGGAATCCCAGGTGCTAGTGAAGAATGGGGAATAATGAGGAATCCCAGGTGCTAGTGAAGAATGAGGAACAGTGTGAGAAATCCCAGGTGCTAGTGAAGAATGAGGAATAATGAGGAATCCCAGGTGCTAGTGAGGAATGAGGAATCCCAGGTGCTAGTGAAGAATGAGGAATTCCAGGTGCTAGTGAAGAATGAGGAACAGTGTGAAGAATCCCAGTGCTAGTGAAGAATGAGGAACAGTGTGAGGAATCCCAGTTGCTAGTGAAGAATGAGGAACAGTGAGGAATCCCAGGTGCTAGTGAAGAATGAGGAACAGTGTGAGGAATCCCAGGTGCTAGTGAAGAATGAGGAATAACAGTGTCCCAGGTGAGGAATCCCAGGTGCTGCTAGTGAAGAATGAGGAATAATGAGGAATCCCAGGTGCTAGTGAGGAATGAGGAATCCCAGGTGCTAGTGAAGAATGAGGAATTCCAGGTGCTAGTGAAGAATGAGGAACCCCCGGTGCTGGTGAAGAATGAGGAACAGTGTGAGGAATCCCAGGTGCTAGTGAAGAATGAGGAACAGTGTGAGGAATCCCAGGTGCTAGTGAAGAATGAGGAATAATGAGGAATCCCAGGTGCTATTGAGGAATGAGGAATCCCAGGTGCTAGTGAGCAATGTGGAATCCATGTGCTAGTGAGGAATGAGGAATAATGAGGAATGCCAGGTGCTAGTGGGGAATGAGGAATGTTAGGTGCTAGTGAAGAATGAGGAATAGTGAGGAATCCAGGTGCTGAACGGTGTGAGGAATCCCAGGTGACCCTAGTGAGGAATGAGGAATCCCAGGTGCTAGTGAGAAATGAAGAATTCCAGTGCTAGTGAGAAATGAAGAATCCCAGGTGATAGTGAGAATGAAGAATCCAGGTGCTAGTGAGGAATGAGGAATCCAGGTGATAGTGAGAATGAAGAATCCAGGTGCTAGTGAGGAATGAGGAATCCAGGTGCAAGTGAGGAATGAGGAATAATGAAAAATCCAGGTGCTAGTGAGGAATGAGGAATAACGAGGAATCCAGGTGCTAGTGAGGAATGAGGAATCCAGGTGCTAGTGAAGAATGAGGAATCCAGGTGCTAGTGAGGAATGAGGAATCCAGGTGCAAGTGAGGAATGAGGAATAATGAAAAATCCAGGTGCTAGTGAGGAATGAGGAATAACGAGGAATCCAGGTGCTAGTGAGGAATGAGGAATCCAGGTGCTAGTGAGGAATGAGGAATCCAGGTGCTAGTGAGGAATGAGGAATCCAAGTGCTCCCTAGTGCTGAACAGAGAACTATATATCTACTGACTTCCAAAGCTTTCTTTGAAGTCATATTCTTTCTTGTGCAAGAACTCACGTGTTCCGAATGTAAGAAACCATGGCAAGGTTTTAATATACATACATAAACACAAACAGAAATATAATAATAAGAACAGAATACTTCTTTTATTGTCTTGGTAGATGCTGACAATATAGTTCTCGAGGGTTTTTTCAAGATAGCGTGTACACAACATATTTTATCTTCTAAAGTTCATTTCTGGTGTCCCCCGCCGTGATGTTGCTGGAATATTGCTAAAAGCGGCGTAAAACCAAACTCAGTCAGTACATGTTTCAGTGCATCCAACATGTCAATTGCATCTGCGTGGACTATCATGGATTCTTGTAATAATCACCCGCTTACTTCCGTTATGGTACATTCGTATTGAACACACTTTTGCTTGGCATCTTTCACACGCTCATTCCGATCTCGAAACCAGTCATAGTATTGTGTAATGACTGCTTCGTTGAGAGTGTGTGGCATTGGCATGACTTTCTTCCATCACTAAAAAGGAAGGTTCAATGCACTCGTTTCTCAGTTAATGAGCCATGTGGTTTAAACATATTAGGTAAAGAAGCAAAACTTTGCTTTTATTAATTCCTCACCATATATATATCATCCAAACAAAATACACAAGAACTGGATAAAAAACCAAAAAACGACAGATTAAATCATATATGCCCACCTTGCGCTTGTAGTACATTTCATCAATTGTGTACATGTATTGGTCGAGAAAAATTATCAAATCGTTTAGTCTTAAAGATGTATTGATGCCGGGACTCTATTTTGTGCTTATTGACATTGTTTGTAGCCTGAGGTATTCAATATAACACACTTTGGATGTTGTGGCCATTTACATAGAAATAGGTATTATTTCTAACAGCAGTGTATAACTTACATGTAAAAAGATAATAAACAATATTGTCATTGTGGTATCCACAAGAGCATTCAAGGTTGTTAGAAATGTACTTTATCCGCGTTTAAATAACTACAGCCGAGCTAAAGTCGCCGGTGTATGATCTCACAGAAATCGACTGCGATATTCAAATCTAGATAATTATTTGATTCATCATTTTTATGCAGAAATTTGAATCCGCCGAATTGAGTTAGCGAGCAGGAAGTTATCAGGTAAAGAATTCCAAATGTAAATTGTGTCACGTGGGAAGGATCATATATTTTAGTGCTACACATTTTTGCTTGTAGCTTGGATTTATTACGGAGATTATATTGGCTGTTTTAACAGATTTAAGAACAAGGTCACAAAGGTAATCAGGTGCGATAAATTCAATCATCTTGTAAATATTTATCAGTTTAATGACGCGCCTTCTTTCGTTTAATGGTTTAAACTTTGTTTCGATAACAACTTGGATCAACGTGTGATGAACCATGTCTGTGGGTTGCCTGTATGTAATAAAAAGGAAACGTATATGCTTCAACAACTTTTGAGTAGTATACAATACTGAGTGAGTGAGTTTAGTTTTACGCCGCACTCAGCAATATTCCAGCGGCCAGTGACGCGTGACGTATACTGTTGGGCAACTGTCCTGCCCGGCTCTGTCACGGCTTCATTGTACATGTAACACAGTTGTGAGCTGACATGGGGGTTCCTAGCAGGATCACCTCGACACCCGACTTTTCTTTGCGATTAAATGCAAATACCCCAAAGGGTGGTTTTGGATTTCTTAGGTTTGATTGTTTGTTGTTTAACGTCACACTCAGCAATATTACAGCTATATGGCGGCTGTCTGTAAATAATCGACTCTGGACCAGACAATCCAGTGATCAACAGCATGAGCATCGATCTGCGCAATTGGGAACCGATGACATGTGTCAACCAAGCCAGCGAGCCTGACCACCCGATCCCGTTAGTCGCCTCGTACGACAAGCTTGGGTTACTGAAGGTTCATTCTAACCCGGATCTTCACGGGGTAGTATGCAATAATGAATTAATGGATAGTATGTGCTACTCGTGAACGGATTAATCCTTAGAAAACTGAACACTTCCCTCCATCAAAGGAAGGAGTTTCTCACAGAAAAATGTCCTTCCGTCATCAGTTTTCAACCAACGCCCAAATTTCATCGGATGAAAGAAATAGTCATCCGAAATAAACAGCTCCTGGACTCTATTCCTGTCGTCTCCAAAGATGAGCTTTCCAGGAACGTACTCGATGTTTTCCCGTCTATCCATTCCTTGAAGAACTGTAGCAACCCCCACTTCAATAATCACTTTATACTTCTTCAATAATGAAATGAGGAACACAAACATGTCCTTCAATCTGTTTGGTACGTAATAGAAATCACACGTAGATCCAAACATCATGTCCAAAGTCTTTCTGTTCTGAACATACATTGTGAAAAAGCGGTTGGCCAAGTCAGCACCTTCTGCTCCTCTTTGAGATATTTCCTTCAGTTCCTGGAGCACCTGTTCATAGTTCCTTCTACCTTCCATTTCCTTCCACCACCTCCAGGGTGAGTTCAACACGCTCCTGTTGAATGCTTGCAGGTGGTTATTAAACCACACGTGATCTCGCGGTAGTTTATGAAGATTCCAAATTTGTAGAAAAGTGTCATCGCCGATATGAAGAAACCCTTTGGCTCGGTAGTTCATCTTCATAGCAAAAGCAATACAATCGTACATGTAATGCCAACCTTCTGTTATGCCTTCCACATGGGACCACTCATCACTGCTGTGTTCATGGAAAGATTCCATACTCGGACCACAGAAGAGTATATTGGGGAAGTATCTCCTATACAACGGCTCTACGGTCCGAGTAGCGCTGTAAAGTTGTGGGTAGTTTATCTCCACAATCAGCAGCACATCGGTGAACAAGTACTTCGCGGGAGATCTGCTTCTCAGCGCTTCTTTAACCTCATCAGCTTCAGGGCAGATAGGCATGTTGTCCCAGGGTAGCTTTGCTACCACGGACATTGACGTCAGATTGTATATCTTATGATTGTGTTGACTCGGTGTAAAGTGAATCTTGGTGCAGTTCTGGTCTCTACTATATTGTTTATTGGAATATATCCTTTTGGAATCGGGGAGGACATTCATATTGTCTAAATCCTGAATCCATGATTCTAGTGATGCAACATTTTCTTCAGCTAGGATATCTTTACTGACAACATGTCGGACAAGGTTCCTCAAACATTCGTGAAGTGAATTTGAATGATCACATGTCCACGTTTCCAGTGCATTCACCAAAAGATCGGCTTTATTTGACACCAGAATGTCATTATCTTTGAAGTTAATGTGTGGGTTGTGGTTTCTATGAGCTGTAACACCCATATGGCCAACTGAACCATTTGTCTCCCATAGCAACCTCTGGGAAATGTAGCCTCGAATCACACCATCCAATACTGAGTCTCCTGAAGACGGAAGAAGCATTACCCAGAATGCATCACGAGTAAAAAGTGTATTACCGGATGTAACTACAGAAAATCTTCCCCGAGGGACAAACGCAGGAGGTGCCATTGTATCAAACTGAAGATCCAGAGTCTTTCCTCTGCTGATTCTTAATACTTTTTGTCTCTGGTCATGGTAAAGAGGCGTTTCCCCAGTAGTGATGCCTTGTTGTATTGGAGGTGTTGGGACATAGCACAGCTGGTAATATCTGGACTGCATCTCCTTAATGGATGTTGGGAATGCAACTGGTGATAAATACGGTTGACCAAAATGTTTGTAGTGATTAAATATTGTGTTGCCGGCGTATATTAGGCCATGAGTGTGATCACTGTAGATGAAGTTGTGCATTGGAACAGTGGGTTTGACGCCATATTCCAAATCGTAGATAACCTCCGCTGATTTCGACATTGCATAGAGGTAGGCTATGTTCTTCAAGGGGTAACCATTCTCCTGTATATGACGTACTGAGTAGAGCCGAAGATCTTTGATGTTCTTAGGATGAAGGTAGGTGCAGCGTGGTTTCCTGAAATATAATCCATTAATGAACAGTAGTGAAGGGAACATCTTTGATGTTCTTAGGATAAAGGTAGGTGCAGCGTGGTTTCCTGAAATATAATCCATTAATGAACAATGGTGAAGGGAAGATCTTTGATGTTCTTAGAATGAAGATAAGTGCAGTGTGATATCCTGAAATAATATCCATCAATTTAATAGTTTGAACAGCAATAAGATAATAATGTTTGTAGTTGCAGAAAAATATATTATGCGTCAAGTCGACATTTACATAAAGGGGGACATTGTATGGATGTTAACTTCTGTGATATGAGGAAAACTCAATTTCGGAAAAGATTCTTGCTCCTTGATAAGGTGACATCCATAAAATTTTCCCCTTTCTGTGCATCACTTCTTAAAGCCATTCAAAGATATTTTACACCATTCATGTCATCTTCGTTTATTCAAAGAAACTGTAATAGCTGTCAAATTACTGATGCGGCGTTAAGGACTCACTCACACACTCACCCAACCACCCACCGACCCACCCACTCACTCACTCACTCACTCCACTGCACAATCTTGACGTGAAACGTTACAGACCGGCACCCATCCAGGTAAGGCTGGGCTCCTGATATCACGATGTTCCAATCTATGACGTCATCCAGGTAACTCACGTCGTTCTGGTACACGGAATCGAGGGACACCACCATCCATCGGTTTCTGAAACATGACCAGGTGTAAAAGGTTCAGGTGCGATGACGATTTTAGTAATATTGCAGCAACTAAAATGAAGATACATCGCGTCCCATTTGGGAAATCGATATTAAACATATTATAACACTATCGAACGTGACGAGTATTGGAAATATGTGATGAGATGAGGTGAGGTGAAATTGGGTTTAACGTCGTGCTTGAGAATATTTCGCTCATATGACGACGTGCATGCGTGTGTATGTGTATGTGCGGCTGCTTGTACTAGCCCAGACTTAAGCTGGTTTTATAGTGCTAGCCCACTAAAATACCATGCCGCAGTGAAGCATGAATACCCCACTCAGACACATTATACTGACTCCGAGCCGACCCTTGCCAGTCCTTGTTGTATCCATTAATGCCGAGCGCCAGGCAGGGACCAACAAGTACCATATTTTAACGTCTTTTGGTATGACGCGGCCGGGGATCGAACCCGCGACCTTTCGCTCTCCGGGCGGACGCTCTACGGAGGCGGTCTGGAAACATGTGTTATCGCTAGAACTTGTGTTGACTGAATTTTGACCGGTCTTGTTCGTGAGTCATACAACTGGGCTACTATATTGTGTTTATGGTGTGTTTCAGAGGCTTATTTAGCTGATTGTGTGAAGCGTGCTCTAAAGGTGGGCTGTTCATTTCTTAACTACCAGTTTGTCTAATCTCGACTAAAAATTGGTCTTCAGTAACCCATGCTTGTCGTAAGAGGCGACTAACGGGATACATGTCATCGTAACCCATTTGCGTAGATTGATGCTCATTTTGTTGATCACTGGATTGTCAAGACTCGATTATTTACATATTACAGACCGCCACCATATAGCTGGAATAAACAACAAACAAACAAACAAGCAAACCCTAGCCAGGAACTTGGACATGGGTATTCGAAGTTCAATAATTCCTTGTCTTAAATCCTGAAAATGGAAACTTATTTCACTATTTTAAATGGCACTGTTCAGGAATACTCAACAGAAAACATTGATGACTTTAAAAACACTGAAAATATTAAACTTACAATTTCTAACTCCTAATTTCTGGACACTTTGTTAATGAAAATTCGAGGAACGACCATATCTTTTTCATCCTACATAAAGCAAACGAAAGTAACAAATACAGACGAACTATTCGAACATACTACTGTATTCGAAAAAAACTTTCAAAACATCGATGAAGAACTTTTGAGTGAACTATCAAAATATAAAAAAAAAATTGAAGAAACTAAAAGTGATGAATTGAAAGGAATACAAATCCGAAACCGAATTCTACTAAGTGACTATCTTGAAAGAGAACTCAGTTTGGATGAAATTAGCAATGCTGTTTACAGGATGAAGAATAATAAAAGTCGTGGGATTGATGGATTTCCTATTGATTTCTTTAACTTTTCTGGGAAATAATTAAAACTATGGATTTATAGATATATTAAAGATGTATCAACAAAAATGAAATGTCTTTGAATATGAAAAGGGATGTTATTACCTGTATTCCAAAATCCCAAAAAGATAGACCATTACTTAAAAATTGGAGGCCATTCACTTTACTCAATGCTATTTATAAAATTATCAGCTCCTGCATTGCACATAGATTAAAAACTACTTTAGATGAACGTATTCACTCTAACCAAACTGGTTTCACACCGGGTAGGACTATTAATGAAAATACAAGATTGTAATATGATATAATGTTTGAAACAAAGAAACAAAACATTCCTGGTTTGCTGATTCTGATTGATTTTGAAAAAGCGTTTGACACTGTTTCAAAAGATATTATCAACCTGGTTTTACACCAATTTGAATTTGGCCCTGAAATGATAAGATGGATAAATATATTAACTTATGAAACAACATCTTGTGTTATCCAACATGGTAATCTATCCGACTTCTTTGCAAATGAATCCCCGACCGCGTCATACCAAAAGACGTTAAAATATGGTACTTTTTTGGTCCCTGCCTGGCGCTCGGCATTAATGGGTACAACAAGGACTGGTCGGCTTGGAGTCAGTATAATGTGTCTGAGTGGGGTATTCATGCTTCACTGCGGCATGGTATCTCAGTGGGCTAGCACTATAAAACCAGCTTCAGTCTGGGCTAGTACAAGCAGCCGCACCTACACATACACACGCATGCACGCATGCACGACGTTAAACCCAATTTCACCTCACCTCTTTGCAAATGAAAGAGGATGTAGACAAGGAGACCCACTATCACCATATCTTTTCCTTTTGTGGCTGAGATTCTTGGTTGCATGATAAGAAATAATGAAAACAGCAAAGGTATTAATTGTCATTAATGATAAAGAATATAAACCCGATCAATATGCTGATGATACTGAACTTTCTCTTGATGGAACTGAAAAGAGTTTGTACTCTGCTATTGGCACAATTAATACATTTTACAAAATGTCAGGCTTGAAAATTAATTTAGATAAGTCAAAAGCAATCTGGATTGGATCAAAAGCTAAATCTATGGATAAAATATGTAATCATCTGAAAATGGAATTGGTAATTGGTGAATTTGATGTACTAGGTATTAAATTTACCCCAGATCTTGAAGACTTATGGGTAATGATCACCAGAAAGAGACTGGAGGAAATTTATAGACTCTTAGCATCTTGAAGAAAAAGAAATTTAACACTTATTGGTAAAATAACAGTAATAAAAACTCTAGCAATCTCCAAATTGGATCATATTTCAATTCCTTGCCCAACCCACCAACAGAATTTATCACGTCCCTTGAAAGAAATGTTTTTAAAATTTATTTGGAATGGCAAGAATGATAAAATAAAAAAGGAATGTAATTAAAAACAACTATGGAGAAGGAGGTTTGAGAATGATTGATACAAAAACATTTATAGACACTTTGAAATTATCTACTTTAAGACGGTATTTCAAAAGAGGTGATAAGGATAATCCATGCAATATACCTTTCCAAGACATATTTAATGTTGGAGCAAATTCTGAAACTTACATTAAGACTGAAAATCTTTTTTGGCGTGATGTGCTAAAAACTCATAACTATTCTACAAAAGAACTCATTATATTGACCCAAATAACATTAATGAAATTCTATCCCAACCATTATGATTTAATCATAATTTGAAAAATTCATTAAACTTCATAAAGAACTGGGCAGATAAAGGGATTATAAATGTTAGGGATATTTGGGATGAAACTGGATTGTTGTCAATAGAATCTTTAAAAGAAATATATGGTATCAAAGGTACTTTTTTAGATTATGAATATTTACTGCATGTATTACCTGACTCTTGGAAAAAATCTCTTAACCACTGTCATTTAATACCAGTCAAGGATTTAAATATTAACCAATGCCAGATCTATCTAGTAAAAACATCTAAAGGCTGCATGACTTTTTAGGATAAAAACTAATTTCCAATGATATACACCCAAATATTTGTAATATATGGCAGCTGTTATTTCCTGAAATAGACTTTGATTGGAAAATATATTTACAATATACAGAAAAGGATTGCAAGACACAAAACTTATAGATTTTCAATATAGATTTCTACAAGGTGTTATTTATACAAAAACGAGAATTGCTTAAAATGAAAAAGGTTGATAGCAGTCTATGTTGTTTCTGCAATGATCTAAATGAGAGTGTTTGTCATGTGTACTGGGAATGTCAGGAGACACAAACTTTTTGGAAAAACCGACAAATTTGGCTTAACAATTTATACCCTCATCCATTGCTATTATCAAAACGTATTGTTTGGTTTGGTACTCTACATCAAAATATATTACTAAATCACATCATCATTGCAGCAAAAGACACATTTACGTATGCAGTATTAAGAAGACGCATCGAAACATAACTCTATTTATAAAAAACCCTGAAAGAAATATTGTTTGTGGAAAACCATATATGCAAAAAAAATAATAAAATAGAACATTTCAATCATAAATGGTGCCTTCTCTTCCCAGTACTTTGATGAATTTAAAATGTATCCATATTTACCTGATATCATATTTCTCTTTTATTGACGTATTAATGTGTATTAACATGATATTGCCATAATATTTGTACATCATCTATCTGTCTGTACATCACTTTTGTAAATATGACATTAAAATCTTGGGAACTAATATACCCCCCCAAAAAAAATAAAAAAATAAAAAAAATAAAAAAATAATTAAAAAAAATAAAATAAAAATGAAAAAATAAAAATAAAATAATAACCCTTGGTCTAAATTTTAATATCAATATTTTGTCTCAATCAAACTGGTTTCCACTGGGGATATTCCTCAGTTTGATCAATTGTTGGCTGGAAAAATATTACATCATAATGCTTTGCAGACCATTTTAACGTCATTGGTTACCTTGCCAAGATGGTAAATGCAAAGACAACGTCTTTTAATATTTTCTGTACTAATAGACTTCCACCAAGTACAAATTGTGTTTTTAAAATTTGAGTTGGGTTCTGTTTGTCATAGAAAATTATTCATCTCTGTAGTTCATTCGTCTGAGCAACAACCATTTTTTATCAAATATTTTTATCATAATATAATTCTTATTACCCAGAGTTTCTGTGTCCTCTCGTGTGATGTCGAGATAAGAAGGATGCATCGGTAGTCACTGGAGAACGATGTCTGTGATTCATCCAGAGCATTACAGACGTGGAGCAAACTCCCAACATAATCAACCACAGCAGCTTCCTCTCTAAGGTTGACATGTCCTGAAACAAACATGTAATCATGCCAGAGTGACATGTCCTTCAATGTACATGCAAACATGCCAGTGACATGTCCTTAAATGTACATGCAAACATGCCAGAGTGATATGTCCTTAAATGTACATGCAAACATGCCAGAGTGACATGTTAAATATACCTGCAACATGCTAGTGACATGTCCTCACATGTACATGCAAACATGTCAGTGACATGTCCTTAAATGTACATGCAAACATGCCAGAGTGACATGTTAAATATACTTGCAACATGCCAGTGACATGTCCTTAGATGTACATGCAAAATTGCTAGTGACATATCCTTACATGTACATGCAAACATGCCAGAGTGACATGTCCTTACTTGAACCTGTTAACGTGCCAATGACATGTCCTTACATGTACATGCAAACATGCCAGTGACATGCCCCTATTTGTACATGCAAACATGCAAGCGTGACATGTCCTTTAATGTAAATGCAAACATGCCCGAGTGACATGTGTTAAATAAACATGTAAACAAGGCTCTGGTTTGAAGAATACCACAGAAAGAGCTACTGGGATGTGAGCCGAGAGCTATTTCTCTTTATTTAATTAACCAAGTTTACAAGTCAGTTTCGTCTCTGCATTCTGTATATAAAAGTGCTCCTAAAACATGTGACGGATTAATTACACAAGCCTTATTGCATAGTATCTCAGAATTAAACGTTAATATTATATAAAGGGAACAGTAGCTAAAGTTAAACTCTAAAAGATAACTGGTCAACTTTCAATGTATACTTTGGAGGCAAAACATTGCTGTCTCAGTAAATTGCCAAGACATAAAGTCAATATATACAACATATGCTCCTAAAGTACCACTGGCAATGAACTGGCAGCTACACAGCAGTTAGTACTTAGTCATTATAACTGTCTGGGGCGGCCGGGTAGCCAAGTGGTTAAAGCGTTAGCTCGTCACGCCGAAGACCCGGGTTCAATTCCCTACATGGGTACAATGTGTGAAGCCCATTTCTGGTGTCCCCCGCCGTGATATTGCTAGAATATTGCTAAAAACGGCTAAAGGCCGGGTGGGACAACTTGGGAATGGCCAGCGAGTCCTAACTTGACACATAGAAGGAAGCGAGCTACAAAGACATATTTTATATCAATGGAAAGATCTCGAGGAGATGAACTCAAAAAGTTCATGTGCCAGTGCGCGCACGTGTTCATAAGCTCACAAATGGGCTCTGAAAATGCATTTCTGCAGAAATTACTGGCAGAATTAATTTTTTCCGCAGAAATTTCTGGCAGATTTTTTTTTTACCGCAGAAATTTCGGGCAGAATTTTTTTTTCCCGCAGAAATTCCTGTCAGAAATTTTCATTTCACTACCAGAATTATCTTAATTGAAAATGATTAGACACCATCTTTGGATAATTCAATATGGACTTTCTTCAAATGATGTTGTTTTCTCCTGTAAACAACTTCAAGTGGGAGGGGAAATGGTTCCCAGAAGTAGATCGCCGCACAAATCTTACAAGGCATATTTTAACATCTTATCAAGACGAAATGAAAATAAAAATAATTTGATGATTTCTTTATACATCGTTTATTCACACTCTGTATTACATGAGTTTCTGCTAAGTTGCAGTCATTTCATCTCTGACATGAGTCCCGTTGTCCCTTTGGTATGGTTTATGTATCTCTATTGTTTGTATAGTCACTCGAACTGTACAATGGAACACTGAATTGTATATGGCAGATGTGTACTCTTGAAACCACAATGAAGCTGTTTTTCAAACAGTCTTGCAATAATCGAATCAGGATTAGGTGTCTTCCCCTTAAGACGACATTTGGTATTACATGTACAGTGAAAATCCTTTGATGTTTCGCCGAGGTAGACTCATGTTGTTGTAATGGATTAGTGAGGTGGGTTATACTATAAACTGAACTGCATAACGAAATCGGTGTTCATTTTCATGATATCAACTCACATTGTAATATGAACATGATATCAACTCACTGGTTGTTGATTTCCATTGGTATCAGCTCACTGCTTATTGACTGACATTGATTGATTTCAACTCACGACTAACTGATTGCCTTTGACACTGATTTTAAATCACTAATTATTTGTTTGCTTATTGATTGACAATGATTTATTTCAACTCACTACTACTGATTGCCTTTGACACTGATTTTAATTCACTATATTATTTGTTGATATTTACTCACTAGTTATTATGGGTATATATCCTGCTTATCCGCAATTCAATGCATCACTTTCGAAATGGCAAATCAGCAGTTAGAGTGCAAGTTCATTCCAACTTCACGTGGAGGAAGGTGTCTCTGTATAGATAGGATACATGTTTAGAGTGAGCCGCAAACACAATGCTGCATCGCGGATAGCATGGATGTGCCTAGATAAGAACTGCACTTAAACTGTTTCTACAGTTGAATGATGACATTCAAATGTATATAAATTATTTGTTATCGATAAACTTGTCACGGATAAAAATGTCATATGTATTTTAAGGTGTAAATAATGGTTCGTGGGAGTATTTCAATTATTTACCGGTTAACAATTTATTATCATCCATCTGCTTAAAATCACACAGAACCTCCGTTGTTCTCCAGAGGCAGTCGACTTGAAAATCCTTGCATGCTCCACTGATTTGTTGTTTTAAACATCACAGTTGTCGTCTTCCCGGGAATGAACTAACAGAACGAATCTTCCATAGGTAGTAGGTGAGTGTTTAAGTCAAGGGTTCTGATTACAGTATTATAATGTTGTGAACTGAGACAGGGATGCATGTATATACATATTGTATAAAACTTGAAATGTTTCACTTCTTCAAATCCTGCATTATGTTGTGTAATAACGTAATGCGGGTAGAAAACATGTGTTCTAGACAGCAGTAATAAACGATCCCAACAAATACCATCCTGTGTAAATACTCGTAATGGCTAATTATTTGGGAGAGTGTGTATTTGACCGTCCTTTCACCTGTATCAGATAATTTATGAGACACCTGCGTGTGGGCCACTTCTTGTTTATTCTAGGTAATTAGCAATCAGTGTGATCAACTGATCTGGATCTGATCTTGTTGGGTTTGGGGTATTTGCATCAGAATGACAATAACTGATTTATGATCAGGAATGTAAAACTATATACACTTCTGTTATTACCTCAAAGACCGGTTTGAGGAATTTAAGCAATTCATATAATCATGACATTAGATGTTTTGGTTCAGTTCTGTGTTGGACCTATTCGATACACTATGTTTCAGGTGTACGAGGTCAGATAAAGTAGGTTGTATATATATATATATATATATATATATATATACAAATTATACAACAACGTCATGAACAGCAATTATGATTGTATGTTTCATTGGCATTCTAGCATGCGGTTTCTTAATAGCAACTTCTTGTTCTTTGCATAAAGCAACGTGTGACGAGCGCTGTGAATGTAGTGACTGACGAAGGGTACTACATACCATAGCCTACGAAGAGCTGACCAAGCTATAGACTTCAATCAGCACCCGTTTTTTATGACTGTTTTTACAACTTAATCTGTCCTGCTTATCGGCTTCATGGCTGTGCTATTTATTGTTCTTACTTCCCACCTGGCCTCGTCCAATTATCTATCCCTTGTTATTCAAGTACACGATGTTTGTCACAGCATTCGATCATTCTAATCACTTGGTTTTTGTCACCGTTAGCTTGAACATGGTGTGAGAACTCTACACAGAAACGTTGCTCTATGCAATTAACAAGAAGTTGCTATCAAAAAGACCGTATGCTTTTATTAGCAATTTTGCTGTCGCATTCCTGGGAAATTAGAGACAATTGTGAATGTCGAGTCACCACTGATTTTTTGAAATGATGTTAGTCACCCAGGATTCCCACAAAATATCGTGTTAAATTGTTTGAAAATATACCAGTCCTAATGATTCATTCATCCACATCTCTTGTTTACCTAACACTGCCGTTGCAATAAACAACCTATACATTGGATCAGTAAAAGAGAAAAACTTGCTTATGAAAATTTCTCTTCAGGTAATGTGTTGAAACGGCTGGTTTGTGCACATAGATAGTGCTAAACATAATGTACCATTGCACAAATGAAATGCATAAAGTCAGTATTTTGAAGTCAGTGGTCCAACAAACTATAATGTCTACGTTCGATCGAAAAGGTATCAAAATTTTCTTAGATAAAATGGTGAATGAAACTTGATGAATGAGTTTGGAAAGAGCTACGATATATACCTGCAAAACGCAGAGGTTGTTCGAGATTTATACAGTATTGTGATTTAAACAGTATTTTTTAAAATTGCCATTAATGTTTACATTTTTCATAATACACGACATAACAAAATGGAAATAGGATTAGCAAACAGGCCATATGGCCTATGTCAATGCTTCTCCGCATATAGTTCGTTATTATCTTGACTTAATTCTATGGAGCAGACATTGGGACATTAATGAATGAATCAAAACAAAAGATAATAAAGAACAAGACACCAAGTGCATTTTATGTTTATAGGTTGTTACTTGAATTCCGTAAAGCGGTTAGTTTCAGTTATATAATTCTGAACGGATTTTATAAGGTTTTCATTGTCTAAAGGAGATAAATCGTCATTGCCGTGAAGTATAGTATATATGCTGAGGTGGTTAAGGACAAAGTATCTCCTCGATGAATTTTCACATTGTTTTGTCACTGAACAACACGCTCCATGCTGTTGCTACCGAGATCATAATATATAGATCTTATCTATTTTATGATTTGTGTTGTAATACGAGTGTGAAAGGAAACGATTATTCATACAATAATATCATGAGAAAATATACCAATCACGAATTAAACGCATATGATTTGCACACCACCATAGTGACTTACATTCATATCGTTCTTTCAACACATTTTCGCTTCATGGATGACAACGTCTATATTATATAGGATGCGGCGTTTCAGTATAGATTATTATACCGTTGTCAAGCGAGACTGAGGTGCTGTAGCAGACTTATATATACATCAACATGGATTAAGCAGTTCAAATCCGCGGACAAAAGCCCTCCATCAACAGAGATGAAGGATATCTCATCCCATCTGCATACAATGAACTGATAGCAACAACTTAGCAGAGCATTCCAGCCATGTATATTTTCTACCTCCTGGACATTTGACTTCCCCCTGTTGTCACTGCTTTATTACCCTATCCTATAGTTGTTGCTGTTAATCCCTTTGATGCACGCCTACATGTTGTTTTACTTATTCCCTGTAAAGTCTGATCTGTGCAAAGAGTGGGCACCTGCTCCTTTTGATAATTATGATTACCCCCTCTCTAATAGAGTTTTGTCATTTGCAATGAATTATAGATTACCCAGCAACATATGTTTGCTTGGACACTGAGCCGT